CTGTGTCCCCCATTTCTTGATTATAGGAAATAGACTTCATTCAGCCTCCATGAGTTTCAATGAGCAGGTTCAAAGTGTTGCTAATTAGGGAAGAGACAGGATGTGAGACAAGGAAGGAGCAGTCAAGAAACAATAGTGCAGCCTTGGGGCAAGGTCCTGATTCCCCCTCAAGGGATATACATAGCAATAACTTTGAGTGGTTTTGCAGATACTTAAACCCCTACAAGATGGGAGAAGTTAACTGTATGCTGCCCATAAGCATGTAGACTCCAGACCCACCCGGCTGGAAGCAGAAGGTTGATGATGCTGACTCCCAATTACCTCACCAGCAACCAATCAGAAGGACGTCCATGAGCTGATCATGCCCTCTTTGAACCATTACTATAAAACTCCTCACAACACCCTCCAGGTTGGGACACACAGTTTTGAGGGCATTAGCCTGCTGGGGCCGCCGTTGCCTAGCAAAGCAATCAATCTATTCTACTTCACCCAAAACTCTGTCTCTGAGATTTAATTTGGTTTTGGGATACAGAGGCTGGATTCAGCTTCAGATTCATGCACTTAATGAATAGCCAGATGACTAACCTGTAAAAGGGTAAAGTTAAGAACTGACTTTCAAGAAGTCATCTGAAATTAGAGCAGAGTTTGATAATAAAGCCTGATAAGAGGAAAGAAGAGTAAATGATAGGTGTCCATAAACTTGGCTAGTGTTCTGCTTTTGAGAGCCCCTGATACTACCCCCTCCATCTGTTTTCTATGGCCAAAATGCTTTTTTTTTTTTTTTTTTTTTTTTTTTTAGATTTAAAGGCAATATCTAAGGTAATCAGCATCTGACAATCTAGAGTAAAGATATAGGGACAGAATTTTAAGATCTTAGAATACGTCTCAAGGTCATGAATTTGTGACATCAAGCACAAAGAACATTCTTTTCTTCTTGGCTGGAAATAGCATAACAAACTAAAAGTTATGAAATTTCATTTTGAGGAATAATGTCTACCACCAAGGGATACAAATTAATAAAATCTGTGATTAAATGTTCAAACTCTTTTAAGAATAGTACCCATTAGTATGAGGGAATTATCTATTTTTCCATAAAATTAAGGTAATTATCTCAGAAATTTAAAATTTTTCTACTTTTTGCTTTATCTGATTGGAAAAGTTTGTGGTAACAAAACAAAACAAAACAAAACACAATGAGAGGAATTCTAAACTTGGAGAAGGCCCAGATCTAAGTCATGACTCTATCACTTACTACTTTTGTAACTTTGGGCACATAGTTCTGATCTTCAGTTTGTCCATAAGTAAAAGGAAACAATATCCCTCCTATCTCTTACTGTGAGAATAAAACCCACTGATTCATTTAACAAATGTTTGTTGATTGTAGCTATGAACCAGGCACTTTGCTAGGTTTGGGGAAGACAGAGTTATAGACGATGGACATAACCTCATTCCTAGAGAATCTCACCTAGAACAAATATGTAACCAAACTTGAATTAATTGTAATGACTAATATTCTGGGGGCATTCTGAAAAACCACTGGGGAAGGAAAGGAACAACTAGATCCACGAGACCAGGAGATTACAAAAATGAGATGACATTGTAAAGGGTAAAATATTATATAATGAAAACAATATTACTGTTTTGAGATATCATCCTCAGTTTAACAATTATAATAAAAATATATTACATACATACCTATGCCAGTCTGTGCATTGATTGCCATATGTCTGTAACCCAGATATTAGATGGGTCTCCCAAGTCAAATGATTTTCATCTCAAATCCCTCTTTCATATCTAGGGGCAAACCTGATCTCATCAACATGTTTGCATTTTTTCTTGTGGTCTTTGTTCTCAGTGTCACTTCTGTGACCATGCTCTTGATTCCAAAAGTGCCCATTTTCTATGCCAAGTTGAACCAGAAATAAAACTCGGATAAGGCTCCCCACTCCTCATTTTCCACCACTGACACCACCAACAATAAAACACTCACATAATCACTGATGTGATGGTTAGATATCACTGAGAGTTCTAAATAATGAGAGGCATTATATCAACATCAGAGAGTAGCATAAAAACATTATATGTTTGATGTTCTTGTTATTCACTATTCTAAAAGTCCAGGCAGCATTGCCTGAGATCCATGAACCTCATGACCCAGCTTTGTGCCCTTTCTCTTCTCAAATCCTTTCTATTCTTTCTATCCTTCCTATTCTTTATGCTGTTCTCAGGAGCATAAAACTGTTTCTCTCATTTGCTCATGAAGAACAGATTAGCTACCACCATATTCACCCAGGATGGTACATTGTACCCCTATACTTCTCAAGATATTTTCATGAGCAAGTTTTTTATTTCCCACAATGATACTCAGAAGCACACATTCTTCATGGACACTTTCAGAGAAAAAAACTAGATTACAGATTGGAAATCACCAGCCCAATGTCCTGTAGCCAGTAAATGGCAGGACTGGGATTCAAACTTGTATTGCCTGATGTAAAAATCTCCATTCGATTCTCCATATCCCTAATCTGCACTAGGCTTCCTTTGTGTGTTTCATTCAGGATTTATTTTTTGAAAGATATTTGAATATATCACAAAGTTTTAAAAAAAACACTTCCTTCCTCAAGATGTAAAATGAGCTTTAATTAAGGCAGAACTGCCCTGAAAAAATATTTTCCAATTATGTTGATATAATTGTTTCCCCAGCATGATGTCGCCTGGTATCAGCTTTAGCAGGCAGTGGAGACATGGTGATATTGGGCTATTACCACTGCAGGCCTGCTCTTAAATTAGACATGGCATTTGGAAAGCGGTCTCTACTCCAGCATTCTTAAACAAATATAGATGAAAACTTTTGTCTCTATTTAGACTTCCCACAGAGTTTCATTAATTCATCTCTGTCTGGACCTCTTGGTCCCCCCTGGAAGGCCATAGCTGTAATGATGAGATACAAATCCAACTGAATATTCAACCTCACGACCTGGCAAAATGCCTAGAACAAGGGCAAGGACAGCCCACTATTATGTTCCTATATAAATTCTGACAGAAGAAGAGCAGATCATCTTATCCTTGTCCCCAAGCACAGCCACAAAGAAGGCAGAGATTCTGATGGAGATAAGACTTTGTGTGGGGGGGTGGGGGGTTGGGGGGGTGGAGTTGCAAAACTAGGTGAGAGAGCTGCACGTGCGTCCTGCCAAATCTACTAAAGATGAAAAAAATATTATAGTTCTTTTTAAATAGTTTTATTAAGTTGTGCTCTGAGTTAGATTTAAGCTATATTACCTTTTTATTTCGAGACTTCTTTTTTAGAAATTCCTTCAGTAAAGTCCAGTGATATCATATATATAATAAAAATAAAAAATATATAACAGCATATATTTCTTATGTACTTCATATACCTTACTTTAGCCAGGCACCATTCTGAGCTCTGTATATATATATATATATATATATATATATATATACCCTTGATTCCCTTTGAAATAAGTACTGTTATTTTTCCTGAGGCTCAGAGAGGTTAAAGATGTTGCATGGCATCAAATAGCGAGTTTATTACTTTTCAGCTATTTGATGTCATGCAAGGTCCTTCACCTCTCTGAGCGACACACACACAGTGTTATTATATATAATATATATAGGAAGTGTTACATTTGTAACATGGAAAAAAAGGGACACATTAGCAATCTGACATTGACTTCTTAAGGAGGGTAGTTCACCATAAAAAGCAGTTATTTAGATCTGAATGAAGAATTAATGGATTTGGGACTTCCCTGGTGGTCTAGTGGTTAAGACTCCATGCTTCCACTGCAGGGGGCGCATGTTCGATCCCTGGTCTAGGAAGTTCCACATGCTGCAGTTTGGCCAAAAAAAAAAAAAAAGAGAGAGAATTAATGGATTTGGCGGTTAGAGTGGATAAGGACTGCCACAGATATAAATTGCTCATAAAATAAATAATATGGAATAAAAAATATAGAAAGATCCAGAATGAAGATCCCTGGTTCTGGGACCAGAACATTAAGGGGAAAATAGAGAGGCTCTTCTGAAAGTGTCTATAGAGAAGTCTTGGTGTCTAAAGTACAAAGCAAATGTTTGGTAAAGAACAGAAATGGCAAATGGGAATTTGTATTGATTTTTGCTCTGTAATATTTAATATAGGCCTTCTGGTTCTCTTCAAAGAAATCTTCGGTCAAATACTCATTTCTGGGAGACTTTCAATATGGCAAAGGAGTAAGACATGGAGATCACCTTCCTCCCCACAAATACATCAGAAATACATCTACATGTGGAACAACTCCTACAGAACACCTATTGAATGCTGGCAGAAGACCTCAGACTTCTCAAAAGCACCCACGTATCTGGGTAGGGCAAAAGAAAAAAGAAATAACAGAGACAAAATAATAGGGACAGGACCTGCACCACTGGGAGGGAGCTGTGAAGGAGGAAATGTTTCCACACACTAGGAAGACCCTTCCTGCGGGCGGAGACAGGGGTGGCGGAGGGGGGGAGATTCAGAGCTGCGGAGGAGAGCGCAACAGGGGGGCCGAGGGCAAAGCAGAGAGATTCCCGCACAGAGGATCGGTGCCGACCAGCAGTCACCAGCCCAAGAGACTTGTCTCTTCACCCGTCGGGGCGGGCGGGGGCTGGGAGCTGAGGTTCAGGCTTCGGAGGTCAGATCCCAAGGAGAAGACTGGGGTTGGCTGCATGAACACAGCCTGAAGGATGCTGGTGTGCCACAGCTAGCCAGCAGGGAGTCTGGGAAAGAGTCTGGAACTGCCTAAGAGGCAAGAGACCATTGTTTCAGGGTGCGCAAGGAAAAGGGATTCAGAGCACCGCCTAAACGAGCTCCAGAGACAGGCGCAAACTGCGGACTGTGGACACCAGAGACAGGCATGAGACGCTAAGGCTGCTGCTGCAGCCACCAAGAAGCCTGTGTGCAAGCACAGGTCACTATCTACACCTCCCCTCCCAGGAGCCTGTGTGGCCCGCCACTGCCGGGTCCGTGATCCAGGGACAACTTCCCCAGGGGAACACACGGCATGCCTCAGGCTGTTGCAATGTCACGCCTGTTTCTACCGCCACAGGCTCGCCTCGCATTCCATTCCCCTCTCTCCCCGCAGCCTGAGGGAGCCAGAGACCCCTAATCAGCTGCTCCTTTAACCCCATCCTGGTCTTGTCTGAGGGAAGAACAGATGCCCTCAAGCTACCTACATGCAGAGATAGGGCCAAATCCAAAGCTGAACCCCAGGAGCTGTGCGAACAAAGAAGAGAAAGGGAAATCTTTCCCAGCAGCCTCAAGAGCAGCAGATTAAATCTCCACAGGCAACTTGATGTACCTTCATCTGTGGAATTCCTGAATAGGCAACGAATTACCCCAAAATTGAGGGGGTGGACTCTGAGAGCAACTGTAGAGTTGGGGTTTTGCTTTCTGCATTTAATTTGTTTCTGGGTTTATGTTTACCTTAGTTTAGTATTTAGAGTTTATTATCATTGGTAGATTTGTTTATTGATTTCGTTGCACTATTCATTTTTTTAATAAATAAATTTTTTTTCTTGTTCTCTTTTTATGAGTGTGTATGTGTATGCTCCTTTGTGTGATTTTATCTGTATAGCTTTGCTTTTACCATTTGTCCTGGGGTTCTGTCTTTTTTTTTTTTTAGTATAGTTTATGGTGCTTGTTATCATTGGTGGATTTGTTTTTTGGTTTGGTTGCTCTTCTTTCTTTCTTTTTTTATTATTACTTTTTCATTTATGTTTTATATTTAATAATTTATTTTTTATTTTAATAACTTTATTTTTTTCTTCCTTTCCTCCTCTTTCTCTCCCTTTTTTTCTGAGCTGTGTGGATGACAGGTTCTTGGTGCTCCAGCCAGGTGTCAGGGCTGTGCCTCTGAGTGGGGAGAGCCGAGTTCAAGATATTGGTCCACCAGAGACCTCCTGGCTCCACATAATATCAAAGAGCAAAAGCTTTCCCAGAGATCTCCACCTCTATGCTAAGACCCAGGTCCACTAAACGACCAGCAAGCTACAGGGCTGGACATGCTATGCCAAACAACTAGTGAGACAGGAATATCACTCCACTCATTAGCAGAGAGGCTCCCTAAAATCATATTAAGGTCACAGATACCCCAAAACTCACCACCGGACATAGTCCTGTGCACCAGAAAGACAAGATCCAGCATCATCCACCAGAACACAGGCACCAGACCCCTCCACCAGGAAACCCATACAACCCACTGAACCAACTTTAGCCACTGCAGGCAGACAGCAAAAAAACTGGAACTACGAACCTGCAACCTGTGAAAAGGAGACCACAAACACAGTAAATAAAGCTAAATGAAGAGATGGAGAAACACACAGCAGATGAAGGAGCAATGTAAAAATGCACCAGACCAAACAAATGAAGAGGAAATAGACAGTCTACCTGAAAAAGAATTCAGAGTAATTATAGTAAAGATGATCCCAAATCGTGGAAATAGAAAGGAGAAAACAGAAGAAACTTTTAACAAGGACCTAGAGGAACTAAAGAGCAAACAAACAAGAATGAACAACACAATAAATGAAATTAAAAATTCTCTAGAAGGAATCAATAGCAGAGTAAGTGGGGCAGAAGAACGGATAAGTGACCTGGAAGATAAAATAGTGGAAATAACTACCACAGAGCAGAATAAAGAAAAACGAATGAAAAGAATTGAGGACAAACTCAGAGATCTCTGAGACAACATTAAATGCACCAACACTCGAATTGTAGGGGTCACAGAAGAAGAAGAGAAAAAGAAAGGGACTGAGAAAATATTTGAAGAGATTATAGCTGAAAACTTCCCTAATATGGGAAAGGAAATAGTCAATCAATTCCAGAAAGTGCAGAATCCCATACATGATAAATCCAAGGAGAAACACACCAAGACACATATTAATCAAACTATCAAAAATTAAATAAAAAGAAAAAATATTAAAGGCAGCAAGGAAGAAAAAATAATAATAACATACAAGGGAATACTCATAAGGTTAACAGCTGATCTTTCAGCAGAAACTCTGCAAGCCAAAAGGGGGTGTCAGGACACATCTAAGGTGATGAAAGGGAAAAACCTACAACTAAGATTACTCTACCCAGCAAGGATTTCATTCAGATTCAACAGAGAAATTAAAACCTTTACAGACATGGAAAAACTAAGAGAATTCAGCACCACCAAACCAGCTTTACAACAAATGCTAAAGGAACTTCTCTAGGCAGAAAACAGAAGAGAAGGAAAAAGCCTACAATAAGAAACCCAAAACAATTAAGAAAATGGTAATAGGAACATACATATCGATAATTACCTTAAATGTAAATGGATTAAATGCTCCACCTAAAAGACATAGATTGGTTGAATGTATACAAAAACAAGAGCTGTATATATGCTGTCTTCAGGAGACCTACTACAGACTTAAGGACACATGCAGACTGAAGTTGAGGGTATGGAAAAAGATATTCCATGCAAATGGAAATCAAAAGAAAGCTGAAGTAGCAATACTCATATAAGACAAAACAGACTCTAAAATAAAGACTATTACAAGAGACAAAGAATGGTGCTACATAATGATAAATGGATGAATCTAAGAAGAACATAAAACAATTGTAAATATTCCTGCACCCAACATAGGAGCACCTCAATACATAAGGCCATGGCTAACAGCCATAAAAGGGGAAATCAACAGTAACAAAATCATACTAGGGGAATTTAACACCCCACTTTCACCAATGGACAGATCATCCAAAATGAAAATAAATAAGGAAACACAAGCTTTAAATGATACATTAAACAAGATTGACTTAATTCATATTTATAGGACAGTTCATCCAAACACAACAGAATACACTTTCTTCCCAAGTGCTCATAGAGCATTCTCCAGGATAGATCATATCTTAGGTCACAAATCAAGCTTGGGGAAATTTAAGAAAACTGAAATCATATCAAATATCTTTTCTGACCACAAAGCTAAGAGGCTACATATCAATTACAGGAAAAATCTGTAAAAAATACAAACACATTGAGGCTAAACAATACACTACTAAATAACCAAGAAAGAGATCACTGAAGAAATCAAAGAGAAGATCAAAAAATACCTAGAAACAAGAGCTTCCCTGGTGGTACAGTGGTTGAGAGTCCGCCTGCCGATGCAGGGGACACGGGTTCGTGCCCCGGTCCGGGAAGATCCCACATGCAACGGAGTGGCTGGGCCCGTGAGCCATGGTCACTGAGCCTGTGCGTCTGGAGCCTGTGCTCCACAACAGGAGAGGCCACAACAGTGAGAGACCCGGGCACCGGAAAAAAAAAAAAAAAAAAAAAAAACCTAGAAACAAATCACAATGAAAACACGATGACCCAAAACCTATAGGATGTAGCAGAAGCAGTTCTAAGAGGGAAGTTCCTAGGAATACAATCCTACCTCAAGAAACAAGAAACATCTCAAATAAACAAGCTAATCTTACACCTAAAGCAATTAGAGGAAGAGGAACAAAAATACCCCAATGTTAGCAGAAGAAAAGAAATCATAAAGATCAGATCACAAATAAATGAAAAAGAAATGAAGGAAACAATAGCAAAGATGAATAAAACGTAAAGCTGGTTCTTTGAGAAAATAAACAAAATTGATAAACCATTAGCCAGACTCATCAAGAAAAAAAGCGACAAGACTCAAATCAATAGAATTAGAAATGTAAAAGGAGAAGTAACAACTATCACTGAAGAAATACAAAGGATCATGAGAGATTAGTACAAGCAACTATATGCCAATAAAATGGACAACCTGAAAGAAATGGACAAATCCTTAGAAAAGCATAACCTTCCAAGACTGAACCATGAAGAAATAGAAAATATAAAAAGACCAATCATAAGCACTGAACTTGAGACTGTGACTAAAATCTTCCAACAAACAAAAGCCCAGGACCAGATGGCTTCACAGGTGAATTCTATCAAACATTTAGAGAAGAGCTAACACCTACCCTTCTAAAACACTTCCAAAATATAGCAGAGGGAGGAACACTCCCAAACTCATTCTACGAGGCCACCATTATTACCCTGAAACCAAAAGCAGGAAAAGATGTCACAAAGAAAGGAAACTATAGGCCAATATCACTGATGAACATAGATGCAAAAATCCCCAACAAAATACTAGCATACAGAATCCAACACCACATGAAAAGGATCATACACCATGATCAAGTGGGGCTTATCCCAGGAATGCAAGGTTTCTTCAATATAAGCAAATCAATTAATGTGATACACCATATTAACTAATTGAAGGAGAAAAACCATATGATCATCTCAACAGATGCAGAAACAGCTTTTGACAAAATTCAACACCCATTTATGAAAAAATCCCTCCAGAATGTAGGCATAAAGGGAACTCACCTCAACATAATAAATGCCATATATGACAAAACCACAGTCAACTTCATTCTCAATGGTGAAAAACTTAAACCATTTCCTTTAATATCAGGAATAAGACAAGGTTGTCCACTCTCACCACTATTATTCAACATAGTTTTGGAAGTTTTAGCCACAGCAATCAGAGAAGAAAAAGAAATAAATGGAATCAAATCCAAAAAGAAGAAGTAAAGCTGTCACTGTTTGCAGATGACGTGATACTATTTATAGAGAATCCTAAAGACTGTACCAGGAAACTACTAGAGCTAATCAATGAATTTGGTAAAGTAGCAGGATACAAAATTAATGCCCAGAAATCTCTTGCATTCCTATACACTAATGATGAAAAATCTGAAAGAGAAATTAAGGAAACACTCCCATTTACTATTGCAACAAAAAGAATGAAATACCTAGAAATAAACCTACCTAAGGAGACAAAATACCAGTATGCAGAAAACTATCAGACACTGATGAAAGAAATTAAAGATGATACAAACAGATGGAGAGATATACCATGTTCTTGGATTGGAAGAATCAATATTGTGAAAATGACTATACTACCCAA